TGTTTGCTTTTAAGATCTCTTTCTGGTTGTTTTTGTAGATCACCATGATTTAAGCAGCTTTTTGGAATGACACGCCAATACTAGATTATTCTTATTATAACATGAAGTAGAAATACACTACCCTGTCCATATGTATGATATTGGGAGATCTTCAGTTAAATTTGCTTGTCTTTTGGGACTGCACTCCTGTTACTATGATTTTGTGGTGTTTAAGGAAAAAATGAACTCCATTTGCACACTTAATTTTAAGGGTAAGAAAATGGAAGCTGTGCTTATATCTCAATAGTGGCATTTTATCCAAGTACTTTAGTTGCAGAAAAGATGGCTCTGGAATATGTTTGTATGAACTCGTATGGATTGTTTGAAAATATTTATAGCTTGTGTTTAAAAACATACAGCTAAACTCCTCCAGTGTGAAATCCTCCTCCAGAAAAATATAAGGCATTTTTTACATGTTTAGGTTAGATTTTTAATCTCATTTCTAGGTTTCTCTAACATTAACGTCAACCACATGTCACTTACATAGTCCATTTATATTTTAATTTAGTGTCTGCATATCAAATGTATAAAGTACAGCTGGACTCAGCACAATATTTTCTATGAAATGCGAAGGAAGCTATTATCCAATAAGAAATACATCTGGCTTTGGTGTAGCAGAGCTTTTCCGAAGGCAGAGAAATTGCTGCAATAATTAAACTTGAGACCCAGAGAAGGACAGGATTCCTGCCGGAGTATTAGACCTTGCATGAGGACTGGGATCCTGGTGAGAGGTTTTTTATGGCTAACAATCTATTGTATATTACTGAAATACTTAAGAAAAGGTGCAGCCAATTATTTGCAGCTGTCACTTGGTGACTCTGTCCAGGTATTAGACAATCTTTTACAAACCGACTTAGGGATCTGTCATATTTTTGCTTACAGTCAACTGAGTCCTGAGCAGATGAATGTGCTAAACTTTGTGCCCTAGCGCTTCCATACAAAAGGCTTTTAAATTAAAGTAAAAATTCATTTTAACAGCAAGGTTATGCTTTCCCTTGAGGTTTCTAACACTGTTCACTCTCATTGCTGAGGATGTTTCCGCCTTCACAGTAAAAGCTTTTCTTTTTGTTATCCTTGCAGCCCTTGTTAGATTGAATAAGTCAAGGTGCTAGTGCCTTTGTGTCGCTGAAGGGCCCGATCCCACAGCCCTGGTGCCTGGCTGTGTAAGGCAACAGGAGAGCTGGGTGTTAGAGGGGGCCACAGGTAAAATGAGAGAGAAATAAATAGGAAAGACAAACGGTTTATTTGTCTGCAACTTGTTTGTTGTCACCTACAGCTTCTTCTTAGTGAGTTGATGGCTTTCTTCTTAAAGCAACAAAGGCTTCTTTGGAAACACTAAAATACTTACTTGATTTTGCTCACTAATTTAGTATGCAAGAAATGTTAGTTTCTTCTCTCAAACACCAGCAGACAGATGGCAGAAAAAATATAGTAGACTCTGGACTCCCACTGAAAGCTGACCTAGACTCACCCCTGGCTTTATTGTTTTCTTTCATAATTAGCTTTTGCTCAGCTTTGTCATTTTCATAAACCTTGATATTCTTCAATTAACAAAACAGAACAAGAACAACAAGAGCTTAGGCAGCTCATGAGGTCACTTCTTGCAGGGGCTGGATTATGGCACCAAAAGAAGCCTGAAAAGCATGTATTGATCCAGTCTGACAGTTCCTGCCACATTAAGCCTCACCACAGCTGTGATATAAAGGCGCTTAGAGCTGTTATCATAAATACCATCCACTATCTTTAAAGATCATCAAAATTGCTTCACATTGTATAAGAGTTATTGTCATATAATCTGTTCAATGCATTTTAACAGCATAAATTGGTTTAGCATTTTAATACTAGCTTAAAGGTCAAATGCAGATAATTTAAACTAACATTTATCCTATGAAAGTCATCATATAAGCTCAATTTACTGAATGTGTGGAATGAAAAACAGTCACTTTTATTATTTCCTTCATTTATCCAAAAGATAAATATATCCAATAAAATTTGGTTTTAAGCATTAAAGCACTTTCATTTAAACTGTCAAAGAACATATTTGTGATTATTTTGTGAATGCTTATAATATTTAGGATATGATCTTAAAAGCAAAATAAACTTCCTATATTTCTTTCTGTAGGAAGATGATTATAAGAGAGGTGTTTTTATGATCGGGAATGGAAAAATGCAGCTACAGCTTTTATGATGAACTGAAGATATTAGGAATAAAAATGTCTGTGGATCTCTTAACCCAACCTACAACTCAGCCTCTGCCCATCCGTAGTCCTGCTGTGCACAGAAAACTCCCTTCCAACTTGTGGCTCGTTGAACCACTAAAACATGACAAGCAAACACCTGTTTGAGAGAGGATTTATTAAGCAGTGATCATATGGGTGGAAGGCAATATAGTCAACAGCATCAGCAAAGACAAGTAGGCAAAGTCTTGTAAAAAACTCTTTTCCAAGAGGATCTCCTGGAGTTTTTCTGCTGTAAGCAGGAGGTACAAGACACTGGTATGGCCTATAATAAAATGTTCACTCAACAGAGGTGGAACAGCTCTCAGGTCCCAGAGGAAACTTCTGGTCCCACCCTGCATGTGGTTGTGGAAGAGCCGGTGGCCTGCTGATCACACTGTTCTAGTGGGGTGGGGTAGACCAAGACCACATCTGCTGAGACTGATCTGAAGTACAGTCAAACTTTACACTTGCGCTGCGAGGGGTTTGTCCTAGAGATGTGGTTTATTCCAGGGTCTTTTCCTATTAGAGTTGTTGTGTTTGTGTAAAAAAGTGTTTGGTGGGGCAGGAACTGGAGCAGAGTTTTCCAGCATCGTAATGGACTTCTCTAGTCATTAGTTCACAGAGATAATTTCTCAAATGAGTTGGTCATCTACATACCTTTTTTTTTATTTCGTGCTTGGGGCAGAAGGGAGGAGAACAGTGAGGAGAACCCACATTCATTACCTCTCATATGACTTCTGAAGTCAATAGACAATTTCTTGTACGGCTCTGGCTGTATTTTCTTTGGTTGCAGTTTCTAGAGCCAAGATATCTGCCTAGTGCTTGCCTACGGTTGCAGTGCCGTTTAGTTTTCAGGACTGATAGTCAGCAAATTTGTGCTGGCCCTTGAGCTGGTATCCCCACAGCCCCCCACAGCTTTGTGGCACTCCTCTGCCCATCTCATCCTCACTGGGAGGGGATGTGTAGACTACCCCAGGTGCTAGGACCTGCCTTCCAGGGTCATCACCAAGCTTCTGCTCTCTCATTCCTTGTTGGAGAGTCAAGAAGCATGTGCACAAGCATTCAGACCACTAACACCTATTTATAGTGAGGTGGGCGAAAGACCAAAACCAGATGCTTAGAGAAGAGTAAGAAAACAGGAGAGCCCACAGTGATGATGCCCTGAATACTCTCTCAGCCTCCAATGATTTGCAACTCAGGGCCTTTCCCAGCCAGAAGTGTTCCCCAGGCAGAGGACAAGGGTAAGGGCATGACTGCTGGGCAAGGGCTGGAGGAGCTAGTGTCAATGCAATCCCTTTTGGAAGGATCCTTTGCTTCTTGTTCTGTCTGGTTAGCCCTAATTTCCCTCAATCTGCATGGAGATTTTTATTTACTGTCTAATCCTTTTCCTTCACTGTTTGAGCAGTCTAAACTGGTGAGACAACTCCTAATCTAGTCTTAACTCTTCCATGCTTTTTCAAACCTGATGTTTGTGAGCATTTCTAAAAAGCTTCTGCCTGTACAAATTAGCTAGCTTAATAAGTATTACAAAGGAGCATAATTGTCTGCATTACCAGAGGATGTGTTGGTTATGATATTGTGAGATGAAAGATTGAGTGAATGAATAATTTGTAATAGCAAATTTTACTTATTTTTCTATTCATGAACAGTCCAGAAAGCAAGCTAGTTATGTCAAATGTTTGTATAATTGGTATTCTATAGATTTTCTCTACTTCTTTTTGGTTTTATTTCTGTGGAAACACAGGGGTGGAGGGAATCGCTTTCTTGTCTGTTTGTTTTCTTTTTCCCCCCACTTATTATTATTATCTTGTCTGTTCGTTTTATTCCCCCCCCCACTTATTATTATTATCTTGTCTGTTTGTTTTCTTTTTTCCCCCACTTATTATTAAAAAGGAAGCTTTAAAAAATGACACACCCCACACACACACTTTAAAAGTAGCTCCTACCTTTAAATTTTGGTCTCAGTGCTAAAACAATAACAAAAAATAGCACTATTACCTCTTTATCTAGAAGTAATAGCAAAAGGATTGAAGACTTTTATCTCATTAGACAAATAATTCACACAAATTTTTGGTGCCCAACATGGGTCTCGAAGGGTTTGAGATAATAACAGATTAACCAGAGCGTATTAAGGAATTTATATCTGTTAACAGTTGTGGGTCACAATGTTGGTTCCTCTGTTCCCGATATTGATTTGTCTAAGCCGCATCATGTACATGTTAGAGATTGGTGTTGGTTTTTGCAGTTGGCTGTGGTCTGTAGTGATTGGTGATGTTTCGCTTGGGAGGTTTATTTTTAAAACACTGACCTTGAGCTTAAGTTGGTATCTGAGTTTCATACTGAAGCCATTACTACACTTCGGAAGCCACTTCATGGAGTCCACTAGCAATTACAGTTCTTCCTCTGAGAATTTTTCCTGTGGAGGAAATACAGAATGGCAGCATTGCTACTTTCTTCTATGATGTTTCCTCCATCATTACAGTAATTTCTCAGTATTTTGAACATCCTTGGGTAGTTAATATAAGTCCCTCTTTTTTATTGTCAGGGGAAACTTTTGGTATTGTTCCTTCAGTGTGATTCACAGATAGAATCAACATTTCCTAAGGATATGTAATATTTGCTAATATTTTAATTCATTGAAAAGTCATAAAATCATAGAATAGTTTGGGTTGGAAGGGACCTCTAAAGGTCATCTACTCCAACCCCCCTGCAATAAGCAGGGACATCTTCAGCTAGATCAAGTTGCTCTCCAATTTAGAGAGAAGGATGTTGTGGGGGACCGTCTCAAAGGCCTTACAGATGTCCAGATAGATCACATCTGTAGCCCTTCCCGTGTCCACTGATGTAGTCCCTCCATCATAGAAGGCCACTAGGTTGGTCAGGCAGGACTTGCCCTTGGTGAAGCCATGCTGGCTGTCTC